GTTGTGAAAGCAGGGTGAGAGTTTTTGTTTGCTGATTTGCTGTTTGATATTATATTGAATTAGAAGATTCTATGCTAAGGAGCTCTGGTAGCATAGTGGTTACGAATCGGGCTGCGAACCTCAAGGTCAGCAGTTCAAAACTACCAGCTGTGTTGCGGGAGAAAGATGAGGCTTTCTGCTCCCGGAAAGAGTTATAGTCAGAACCGACTCCACAGCACACAACAACAACAACAACAAATGCTTACAGCCGGAGTTCTGGTTTGCTGCTGTAGGATAAGCACTGGACTGCAAGGTTGGTTTAAATCACAAGGTCAGCACTTCAAACTCGCCAGCTGCTCCTCGGAAACCCTATCCGGGGTCACCATGAGTCAGAAATGACTCAACAACACTTAACAGCAACACACTTACAGCCAGAGATCTCTCGGTTGTACAAACAGTTTGGTCTTGGCTACCAACCAGAAGGTTGGGAGCTGAAATTCACCCAGTGATGCTGTGGAGGACCGGTCAGGAAAATGCTGTGGAGCACAGTTCTACACTGAAGCAGCTGGAACATCGTGAGTTGGAATCAACTCATTGGGAACAGGTTTGGATTATGTGTACTGCCTATGAGGAAACAGGCAGAAGAGAATTTGACAGTGCAACTTGGAAGAGCCTTCAGGAAATCCCCAGAGAATGAAGTATAGTGATTATTCTTGGCTAGAATGCACTTTTCCCTGACACCACGAGAAAAGAGATGCAGATAGATGAAAGAGAAAATTCAGAGGGTTCAAAACCAAAATTTCTCTGTGAAATAAGGAAATGTGCCAAGAGAAAAAAGAGGTAAAGGTTTGGGGAAAACCAAGGTGCATTCAATAAATTGTTAAGTGCCATTGAGTTGGTTCCGACTCATAGTGACCCTGTATAGTGTTTCCAAGGAGCACCTGGTGTGTTTGAATCGCTGGTCTTGGGGTTCACAGTCCATTGCTGTTTTTGTAGCACCACACCAGGAGTCCAGTTTCCCTAAAGTACATTATTGGAGTCCGGGTGTGACTCTAGGATAAGCACTAGGCTGCTAAACATAAGGTTGGTGGTTCAAACCCACCAGTCACCTGTCGCTCCTTAGAAACCCTATACAGGGTCACTATGAATCAGAACTGACTTAACAATACTTAACAACAACATAGTACATGGTTGGGTAAGTGATTCATAGTAGGACTTGAGATTATTTCAAACCTCAAAAAAATTCAAGACTGAATTTTTTTAAAAATTAGAGGTTCAAAAAAATGTTACAGAATAAAGCTGCATTCTGGTGTCATGATGATATGGAATAAGGTGTTTGAGGTGTTCCCACCTGCTTTCTCACTTCAGTGTCCTAGCTTGTAAACATCTGCAGGCCTAGAGATCTGTTTGAATTTCATTTTGTGGTACCCTCCTCGCCTCCTTGTTTCTTAGATTTTACTAACCAAGAACTTACATAAACGTAAGCTGCTTTTAAAATTTATATCATGAGAATGTTAAGGTTTCTGACTTTTAGATACCTTAATTCTCATTTTGGTGCATGTTTTCTGTTCTTTAACACAAGAATTTTAATTTTTACAACCGACATAAGATTTGCAACACATTATTTCCTGACTGTTGTTATTTTTGCAACCAGAACAGCCTTCAGATTAAAGTTCTATCTGCATTATTGTTCAGAATTAATGGGAAAAGTAGACTGGGATCAGAAGAGGGTGAAAAAGTGAATAAGTTTACAGACAGGAATCACCATTTTTTCAGGTAAAAAATTTAAAACAATTTGAATTGACCTCATAGCTTAAAACTTCAAAAACAATTCTCCTGGAGGTGAATGTAGTATATAATCTATAATCACTAAACTGACTAGATTAGCAAGTATATATGGAAATAAGGGTTATCTCTCTCACACACAGGTTTTAGAACATAACTAATCACTGAACAGGAAAACTTGTTGTTAATTTGTCTGGCCTGAACATTCAGTTTGTTTCTGGGGCAATGTCTTTAATATGAAAATTAATCCCTCCTAGAGAGTTAATGTTTGCATCTTTTGCATAAAGCTGGTATACTCTAAAGGAGTAGGAAAGAGTTTGTGGTTACCTGGCAGAAATTCCAGGTGTTTTTTTTTTCTTCTTCTTTTTCTCCATTGTAAACTTTATTAACTTTTTATGCTTTCAGTGTTCCTCAATATGGAGGTATTAAACTGACTTTGGCAGACTGTGGTTTTTGCATGAAGCAAGCAGAAATATGTGTTGTGAAAAGAGGGTAGATTGGTATAGGGTAGACTATCTTAGCCAACCTTTCTGTTGTTGTAAAATTATTAAGCAATTCTTTTCCACAGCATACATTTCAAAAATAGATATTGCTTCACTCTATTTAATGGTGATTAGTAATGTTCTTCCTCTAAAGTAAGTAGCGGAGATGTGTACTTTTACAAAGGATTCCAGTTTTAATTTAAAATCATGATACTAATCAACAGTTATCCTAAAACGTGAAAATGGATTTCTCTCCTGTTACGTCACCGCACATCACTTTAGGGGTATTTGAATCATCTACAAACAAATGTGTCAGAAACAGTACAAGTATTAAAACACTTAGCAAAAGCATATACTTTTTGATAATAGGATTTCAGATATAAAAAGCAACAGCATTTTATTTTAAAAAAGGCAGTCTTTCTGTTTCAACAGAGATATTTAAGAAGCTTGTTTTAGCACTTCTTTGGTATTTTTTGTTTTCTCACAAGTAAATTTCTGAAGAGGAAGAATGAAAAGCAAACTGTGTGTGTGTCCTCTGTGTGTACGTATTCCCCTGTTCTGTTGCTACAGATTTCAAATTGTATTGTTTGACATGTAGGATAAAAGTTTTCAAGAACACAGAAGTAAGACTGAAAATTGATTCTAAAAAGAGAAGTGGACAATAGACCCCAGTGAACCCGGGTGGAGACCTGGATGACCAGCAGTATGGCAAGACCTGGGGACTCCTGGGCCCAGAGGCAGTAACATGGCCACAGAGGACTAGAGTGGAGAGTGAAGCGTCCAGCTGATATGAAGTGAGGAGAGATGCACAAGAACACCCATACTTGCAGATAGTACCCACTTGACCTGGCTTCAATGGCTGGATGATCAGAACTCAACTAGAAGAAGAAAAGGGGGGAAAAAAGAATAACCTGCTGCAATTTGATGAACTATACTGATACTTATGGATGTGTTGTTGTTTTCAAGTGCCATTCAGCCGTTGTAGTAGATCAAAAAAGGGAACAAATCTTTACAGCGCGAATCACTCCCACCCCCTCAGTACACAGGGTTGACAGGGATGGGCAGCATAGACGTTGACTACCCAAAATGGGGGTGCCTATAAAGGCAAGAAGTGACTGGCTTACAAGCTTTCAAGAGGGAACGTAGTTCCAGACGGGGCAGGGAAGGTAGAATCACCACTGAATGATTTCCAATCTGTTGGGACTGGGCTGGCGAAAGGAAATGGGGATAAGACTTTTGTGGTACAATAGTGAATAATTGCCATCAGGACTGACTGTGAGGGTAGGAAATATAGAGGTCGATGTTTTTTGACAAAAGAAGAAAAGTAATTGATTTTGCAGCCCAAGAGCGAAAGTCCCTGGGACCATCAAGTGAGAAGAATGGAGCAAGGGACCCTACCCAAAGAGGCAGTGACGCCAGAGATGGAGACAGAGATGATGACATGGACAAGTGGAGCAGCTGGGGACACTGGACTCAGGGAGGGAGAAGGGCTGTGTGCTGGCGGCAATCCAATGCTTATCCTACAGGACCACACAAACTTCATTATATTTTAATGGTCTTAATTTATTTGACTTTATCCCCAAATGTGCATAAGTGCTTTGTTCCAAGACAAAAACAAAGTATACCATTTGCTGTCACTGCTTGAAAGAAGCACTTACAACTGTGTAAGTAATGAGTCCAAGAAAGGGCAAGTAACCACCAGCCACCACCATCTTTTACAGAAGATCAAAGGGAATGTTGAAGTACGAATAAGTGGTAGTCCTTTGTGAGGTTTTGATTATTTATAAAAGAGAAAATAAGGACCCATTTTCTTATCATAGTATTTATATGTAATAAACTATCATGCAACAGTTTGTTAATTCAGACTATATTTTTGTCATGAATTTAGAAAACAAAATTTTATTGTGACACTTAAAAGTGATTTCTTAAAATAATAGCTATAATGAATGCTTTTGTAGGAGACCAGATCATTGCTGAAATTAATTCTAAATTGCCAGTTGAATTTATTGATAGATAGCACATTTAAAACCTTTGTGTATGAATTGTTCTTTATTTTCCTACAGTGGCTAAGACGAGGTATAATGTTGTACCCACTCATATTCTGAGACAATTGTACTCGGACAGTCCTTGATTTATGCATCGTAAAACTTTGTGCATACTTACAGAAAATGTATTGTTTTTAAACTGTGTCTTAAGAGTAAGATTTTTTGATGTAGTTGAAACTGCTCACAGCATTCACCTGGAAAGCTAGGTTGCAGATGTGTTAACTATGTCACCGTGAAGTATGTAAACATCAGATTGCAAATGTTTTCTAGGTGATCTCTGAGAAGGAAGTATCTGCTGCGTCACTATGGTGTTAGCGGGAGTGAAACCTTGTAACTCTTGCTTAATTGAAAGCCAGTGGGTCACTTTTCAGGTTTGCATTTCTTTGTTGGATTTCAAAGTGACCACTCTTTTCACTGGTTAATAAGGTGAATTCCATGATAAGCAGACTATTAGAGTAAAGCAGATGGATTTTTAATGTAATTCTGCTTCCACTGCCACTGTGTTCCTCCCATTGCCACTGGATTCCTTCCTGGATTTTCTGCCCTGTGTTTTGTGCATAAAAAAACTGCCAGTATAAATCACTACCACCCCTTCTGAGCTACCACATGCCCTGGCTTTGGGGAGTAAGCAAATATTTCTCAGCCAGTTTTTGCATTCAGTAACCCAGGAAATGACGATTTCGTTTCTGATTTGCCTTTCCTATTACAGGTCAACAAAAATCTCTCGTTTACTTCAACATCAGCCTCCTTACAACAGCCCAAGTTCACACAGGCCAAAACACTGCCTACTCAGGAGGTTCTGCGTCAGTTCGGTTTCCCTCAGACTGGTGAGCCTCCTTCTTAAAACTAGCACTGTCAAATGCTCAGATGCTGTTTTTAAAATAAGTATCATTTATTTTCACTTCAAAAATGAAGCAGGTAGCATTAAAGTGATCCATCTTACACTTGATGAATTATATTCTAGCGTCTCTTTTTCTTTAAAAATCACAAAAGTTGCTATTTCAAAATTTAACTTTAGTAACTTTGACAATAGATAATTCCACTTATAATCTGTTGAGCAGTTAATCATTTTAAAGTAGGCTTGTTGTTGTTGTTGTTGTTAAGTGCCTATGAGTCAGTTCTGACCCATAGTGACCCCTACCTAGGGTTTCTGAGGAGCAGCTGGTGAGCTTGAACCGCCGACCTTGTGGTTTAAACTGACTTTGCATCCCAGTGTATTAATCCACAGCGCCACACCAGGACTCCTAAAGCATGTATAATATTAAATCTGATTTAATTTCTCAGTTGAATAAAGGAATTCTAGTTTATGGTTGAAAGTGAAGAGGACTTGAAACATTTACTTATGAAGATTAAAGAGCACAGCCTTCGATATGGATTACATCTCAATGTCAAGAAAACAAAAATCCTCACCACTGGACCAATAAACAACATTCTTATCAATGGAGAAAAGATTGAAGTTGTCAAGGACTTCATTCTTCTTGGATCAACTATCAACACTCGCGGAAGTAGCAGTCAAGAGATCAGACGATGTATTGCACTGGGCAAATCTGCTGCAAAGGAACTTTTTAAAGTGTTGAAGAGCAGAGATGTCAGCTTGAGGACTAGGGTGCACCTGACCCAGGCCATTGTGTTTTCAATAGCCTCATATGGATGCGAAAGCTGGACAGTGAATAAGGAGGATCTTAGAAGAATTGATGCCTTTGAGTTGTGTTGGAGGAGAATACTGAAAGTGCCATGGACTGACAAAAGAACCAATAGATCTGTTTTGGAAGAAGTGCAGCCAGAGTGCTCCTTGGAGGCCAGGATGGCCAAACTTCTCTCATACTTTGGACATATTGTCCAGAGGAAACAATCGTTGGAGAAGGATGTCATGCTGGGTAGGGTGGAGGGTCAGAGAAGAAGAGGAAGACCCCCAACGAGATGGATCAGCCAGGTGGCATCATTGATGGACTCAGGTGTGGCGGAGGTAGTGAGGTTGGCCCAGGATCGAACATTGTTTCGTTCTGCTGTGCATGGGGTCGCTATGAGTCGGTTCCGACTCGATGGCACCTGACAACAACAGCAACAAGTTTATGGTTCATCCCATTTTATAATGTATTTCAAAGACAGCCCACATAAAGTGTGTCTTGGTGGAAATAGAATGCAAAATGCAATGGTATATTTTTTCTTCAAAACTGACAAATTAGTAAAATATGCAAAGAAGCTAAAAATCTGCTTGAATTACTGAATTGCAATGAACTAACTGTGCAATTGCAAATTTTTAAGGTACTGTTTGGACTTAATTTGAATGGGAGTGCTGTGGCTCTGTATGATAAGCACTGGACTCTGGACCACAAGGTTGGTAGTTCAAGCCCGCCAGTCATTCTACAGGAGAAAAGAGGAGGCTTTCTGCTCCTGTACATATGCACAACTTCGGGTCACTATGACTCAAAGGGACTTAATAACAACAACCTACAGTTGCAAATTTTTAGGCTACTGTTTTCAATGAATTTGAATAAGCATTGAAAGGTATCAAAGAAAAACTTTCTAGGTGAGATGTTTATTTTTGTATTGAAAGATGACTTTTCTGCTCATTCGCAAAATGTTTTTGACATTTTTCCTATTGAGTTATTTTAAAAGGATGAGACAGCTGATAAAAACAAAAGCAATAATCTTTGACTAAAAGGTTATACATAGAAGAAGAAACTTGAGCTTGAAAAGATCAGCATAATTTACTTATTTATGTAAATAATATCCCTACTTTCCTTAGCAGTTTAGGGATAACATCGCTTTTTACTTCAAAAGTATTTGAAGTATACCCATGCAAGTTAATTAATATTGCTGTATAGATTATGTATAGATTAAAAAGGAGTCCTGGTGTGGCGCTGTGGGTTAATGCACCAGACTGCAAAGCTGTTTGAACTGCAAGGTCGGCGCTTCAAGCTCACCAGCCGCTCCTCGGAAACCCTATACGGGGTCGCCATGGGTCGGGATCGACTCGACGGCTCTTCACAACAGCAACATAGATTTATGTAGGCCATATGGAAAATATCCTTAACTTGAATTCAGAATTCTGATGTTCAGTCCTAGCTGTGCCTTTTATTATCTTTATTCCTTGCAAACCTTAGAATCTTCATTTGAAAACTGGGAATTCTGTCAACATCACATATTGTTGAAGCTCAAGTGAGATAATACATTTGAAAACCATAAGATATAATATGGTTAGGCTGTTATTAATGGATCAAAAATATAAGTGCATTATATTTGAAATTTCTGGTGTTCTGCTGGTATCTGCCAGCAGTTGGACTGACCTTGTTGGGCTTTGCTGTTTCTGCTACAGGCCACACTGAGGATTATGCCCTCTTTCGATGACCTAGGTACCTTCAGACCTTATCCCTGTAATGACTAGGAGATAGGCAAGCCTGTTCCAACTCCCCATCTCTACCACCTCTTTCTGCTGCAGGCTAGAAAATTCCTAAGAACAAACTTTTTATTCTACATATGTACATTAAAGTTTTAAATTTCTGCTTGAGTTAATATATTGATTAAGATTTAATCTGTTAGCCAACAAGGTGTAGATAATAGATACTATTATCTTTCATTTTCTGTAAAGGAAAAGAGCAGAGAGGCTAAACAAGAAGCCCTTTGAAATGAGAAGAGGGATAGCCACAGAGAAAGATAAGGAATACAGATCAGGAAGAAAGGAAAAGCAGGGTATGATAAAGACCAGCCTTCCAAACTTTACAACTGTGACTAGGATCGGCTGTATTTACTTTGAGCTTTCCATGGTCATATAGGCCAGAGTGGGGTCATTTATACTGGGCCCTGGTGGCACAGTGGTTAAATCATTCTGCTGCTAACCAAAAGGTCTGAAGTTGAAGCCACCAGACACCAGACATTCCATGGGAGAAAGCTTTGAAGGTTTACTTCTGTAAAGATTATGGCCTTTGAAACCCTTTGGGGCAGTCTGTGCTGTCAGGCCTCTGTGAGTCGGGACCAAATCTACTGCAGTGAATTTGGGTGCATTCACGCGTGCTCTCTGAAGCATCATCACCTGTAAGCTCTGCGCTTTTGTAGTAGCATTGCTTCCCTTGATTTTATTTCCATTGTTAATATGCCTGGTCTCATCTTCAAGCACATTCTTCATGGTGGCGGTGGTTGTTATATGCCATGGAGCCAGTTCCGACTCATAGCGACCCTGCATAGGGTTCAAACCGACTTTGCAGTCCAGCACATTAACCCACAGTGCCACACCAGGACTCCTTCATAAAGGTGACAGTCCAGAAGACCCTGAGGGTCTCAGCTCTACTTCTGACATGTGAGGTTGCCGTAAGTCAGAATTGACTTGATGACAGTGGTTTTGATCTCATTTCTGGTGATAGCATTGCTCTATGACATCAATTTAGTGCCGACTCCTAGTGCCCCTAAAAGACAGAGTAGAACTGCCCCCGAGGGGTTTCCAAGACTAATCTTTACGGAAGCAGATTGCCATATCTTTCTCCCACACAGCAGCTCATGGGTTCAAACCACCAACCTTTTGGTTCGCAGCCAGATACTTAACCTCTGCGCCACCAGTACTCCTGGCATGGCCACTCTGTCATCTTTCCTGAGGAAACTGGATTCATCGCTGACTGCTCCTTCTCCCTTCCTTTTTCTAAGTAGCCTGTCTCAGAGACCTCGCACTAGCTGATTCTAAATCTCTCTTAATTCAGCAATCGTGTTGTTAAATCTCTATGATCTCTTCTTGGTTGCGTTTGTTCCTTTTTCTAATATCGAAGTTTTGTGGCTGTCATTACAGTAATATTTCCTTTGTGTTCAGTTCTCTTGTTTGTTTATGTCATCTCTGTTTTGTTTTATATTTCATGCTACTGGTTTTTATTATATGTTGGTAATCCATAGTGTCTTTTTTTTCTTCCCCTCATGAAGGACTGGGTATTAAATGAGGTTTTCCTCTTCAGTAGTATAATCAGCTCTTTAATCTTGTTGTAGTACTCACCTTAGCGGAAGGTTTCTTGAGAAGTTTCCGAATATGGATTAGACTTATTAGCTGACTGCTTATATTGAGTAAGCAGGCAGCAGGAATGGACCCAGGTCTTCAGCATCTAATTACCAGAATGAGAATAACAGGGACGATAGTATCTACTCCAACAGGCGTCTCTCTTCCCAGATGGTTTTTTCAGTGTTCGTTTAAAAGACAGTTTCAGTGATTTCTTTCTTGTGGTTAATGGTGGACAGCCTCGGTTTGCTTTGTTAAGTTTGTAGCCCATGGGCTGTTGGTGTTTTATATCTTTGGCCCTGCTCTCACCCCCATCAGATGTGCTGGTTCTGTTCATCTCTGCATCTGAGTCAGGTAGCTTCTATCTACTGCAGCATCCATCCACAGTGTCTCCAGACAGATGTTTCCAAGCACTTCCCATCTTCCAGAAATTTCTTTTTTTTTTTAATGAAAATCTTGTATTTTTTTTTATTGTAATTGTTGAAAATGGTTTTTGTTGTTAAGCGCCATTGAGCTGCTTCCAACTCATAGGGACCCTGTATAGGGTTCCTAAGGAGTAACTGGTGAGTTTGAATCGCTGGCTTTTTTGGTTCAAACCAGCCTTGTGGTGCTTTGTCCCAGCTCCACACCAGGACTCCTGTTGAGAATATACACAGCAAAAAAAAAAAAGGAAAGCAGTTCAAGTTTCTGTATGTACAATCCTACATGTGCAACTCAGCAACACTGCTTGCACATTCTTAGAGTTAGCTGGGCAACCATTCCCACCCTCTTTTTTGAGTTCTCCCTCCCACATCAACATAAACTCATTGCCCACTAAGGTTCCTGTGTTATTTAACATTGCATTGTTGGTGA